GGATGAAACCATATTTGATTCTTTCCTCCAAGGGCAGGAAAGCATTTTCTTATCTGAAGCATTTTCTTATCTCATCCCCTGCACTAACGTGTGGCATACCAGGACCTGAGAACTCTGAGTTTCACTCTTATGCTGAAGCTGGGTTAAACTTGACTAAGCTCCTAGTGTGATCTTAAATACCTCAGTTCAGCCGGTGCAATAAAACAGAATGCCCTAATATTCCAATTACGTCAATACGTTTATTTGTTCCTTGTGCTCTTCTTTCTTTTCCTCCTGCTCACTGTGTCTCCTTCTTCCTCTTTCTCAATAAAGGGTTCCATTGAATTACACAGTTTTTCTATAATTTTACAACTAACCCCAAGCTTTTGACTGTAAGACCATTTAGATCAGTGGTTCTCAGTCTTCCTAATGCTTCAAACTCTTAAAATTGTTCCTCATATTGTGGTCCCCCCAACCATAAAATTATGTTTGCTGTTCCTTCATAACTGTAATTTTGTTACTGTTATGAAACATAATGTTAACACCTGATATGCAGGATAGCTGATAGGCAACCCTGTGAAAGGATTATTTAACCCCCAGGGGTCACAACCCACAAGTTGAGAACCACTGACTTAAATAGAGGAGAGTAGTTCAATACTATTTTTAAAATATCTTGTCCCTTGATGTGATGAATTGTGTTACGTGTGGCTATAATAAAAGTAATCTCTGAAATAAAATATCTAGATGCAGTGGATGATGTCTTGATCCTCAATAATGATAAAAAGTCAATAAACCTTGTATTACATTTGTATTGCTGACCATGAAGAACAGTTCCTTGTGATTTGTTCACAGAAACAAAACAAAAATCTACAGAATTTCTATGTGAAAAGGAGAATGTTGACTAAGACATGTTCCTTATTCCTGTAGAAAGGAAAGACATCTATTGGGGTACAAGTGTGAAGATGATGGGAGATGGAAGAGTGAATAGTAAGTCCTCACAGGAAACGGGAAGGACACCTGCTATTTTCTGTAAGGTGGGGGCTAGCTTTCCAACACTGATCCTAAGGAAACCATGGCTGTGTATCTCAATAATTCTACTGTAGGCATAGAAACAATGTGGATAAGTTAAATGACTGTGCTTAGCAGAAATTGTGCTATTTTATCTGGATGTTTTTAGTGAAAAGATCAGAGGAACCAAGCCATGGGGACTAGAAATTTATCTAGCAGAAGAAACACTCTGCATAAGTAGATTTCTGTCATTCCCTTATGTTATCCCATCACGTCTCTTTCTTCCTCCCCATAACCCCTCCCCCTCTCTCCTTCTATTCCTCCCCCCTCCCTCTCTGTTATGAGCATTAAGCTAGTGAAGGCAAATAAGGACTCAGCAAAATCCAACCTCTACACATGACTGCTACATATTAAAATAAGATATTTCTTCTGCTTCTCTCTCTTGACAGAGTCCTTTGAGAACATAATTCATTGGTTCCATCTGGTTTATTGCCCCTATGGCTGCTTGAGTGTTTATTTGTTGGAGACAGGTGTAAATACAGCTAAGTTATGACCTAGAAGATGCAAAGTAAGGTTATAAACCTGTGGTTTAATTCTCCTTTTCCAGATGCCACCCCAGTCGTAGACATTCACACAAGACAAATCTGCTAGGCTAATGAGCAGAGCAGAAACAGCCAAACTTCAAGTGCAGCTAAGAAATCTGACAGTCTTTCTCAATGGCAAAGAAAAATTGCTTTATTTTTTCTGGGAATTTTTTTCTCTTTTTAATGAAGGGGCTTAGGATGTGTCTGACAAAGCTGCTCAACTATAAAGGGTTGGTCCTTAGTAAGGCTGATGGAAGCTCTTCTCACCATACTCATCTCATTTTCTTTCTCTACCCACTTTTGCTTCTGTCCTCCACAGGTGTGAAGCTTAACTACCATACCACATCATTTCCAAGTTAAAAATGAAACGATGAGGAAAAACATTTAAATCTTAACTTTACATCCCTGACAGAAGAGGAAAAGAAAAGGGTCAAATGACTCTAATTTACAAAAGTGTACGGTAATGTACCATTACTGAATTAACAGTTTGCTCATTGTTTTTTAAATTAATGGGCTTAAGATATTATTTTAAACTATTAATATTGAAAAGAACATTGTAGTGTAGAGGAAATCATCTGCTCATACATTTAAAAAATATGTGTTTTCTGGGCAATGCCCCAACATAATAATTGTGACTTCGATAAGTATGCAAGATACCTTGACAATTATCAAAATCTGTCAGATGGATCATGATAACTCAGACTAAAAACAATCTTTGCAGTCATGTTAGAGCCTCTATGATTTAGTTACTATCCATTAGGGGCAGGTCTCTGAAGCTTTATTATGGGTATTATGGTTTTACTCTTACATGTTCCATATGTCTTCCATAAGTAAATAATTTTTATGTCTCCTCATAACTAATGCCTCAAGAAGAAAAAACCTAAATGAATCAAGGTGAAAGAATGCAAATGAAATTTTACCTTCATTTGATGCTACATAGAAAGCCTTAGATTTCGAACCACATAGATATGAGTTCATATTCAATCTCTGTCACTGCCAGTGTAGTATTGGCAAAATGTCTTAATACCCAAGAGCCGGACTTCTGGAGGCATCACCATCCCTAACTTTAAGCTCTATTACAGAGCTATAGTCCAGCTTGGTATTGGCACAAAATAGACAGGTAGACCAATGGAATAGAATTGAAAACCCTGATATTAACCGACACACCTATGAACACCTGATTTTTGACAAACAATCCAAATATATACGCTGGAACAAAGAAAACATCTTCAACAAACGGTGCTGGCATAACTGGATGCAAACATGTTGAAGACTACAGATAGACCCAAGCCTTTTGCCCTGCACAAAACTTAAGTCAAAATGGATCAAAGACCTCAACATAAACCCAGCCACACTGAGCCTACTAGAAGATAAAGTAGGAAATACCCTTGAATTAGTTGGTACGGGAGACTGCTTCCTGAACATAACACCAGTAGCACATACACTGAGATCAACAAT